TGCAGGTTTGCCCAAACTTCTGCTCTGCTCAGGGCGCACAGTGGGGAGAGAGGAAACCCCCAAAGAATCAGCTCCTTTCAAAGATCTTTTAGCTAGCCTGGTCTGTTACAGTGGCTTGCTGCTCATCCTGGCACTCTGAAAGGCTGAGATGGGGATTGCGAGTGCAGGCTCTGCGTGGGAAGGTAGCAAGATCCTGTCTCAAAATTAAAAATTAACTCAGGAGGCTGAGGCAGGAGGATAGTGGCGGGTTCAAGGCCAGCATGGGCTACATAGTGAGTTCAGGGCCAGCCTACACTACAAAGTCTGTGCACTGTTTTAACACATTCCTCCCCCCAGGGCTCATCCTTTCTCTCTTCTGTTGTCCCACCGACCTTTAGCCAGCTTATGTCGTCCTTCGTAGTGCATATTGCCTGTCTTCCTCTAGAATTTCTGCGTCCTAAGAAAATAGACCCTGCCCAGTGCCTCCCCCATCAGCCCTTTCCACTGGTGTTAAGTGGCCTGCTTCAAGAGGACGTCTAAGAGGCATCCTTATCCTTTCCTTGGGGCTCTGGATATCTGAGTGGGTCTGGCCCGGTAAAGTCTGGATTGTGGTCCGGCGATGGTGGGCTGCTGAGGATGAGTTTTGTGGGAAGAGGAGTATCTGCCTCTGAGGGTGTCAGTCCCTGCTCATCCCTGCCATACTCCCCTTATTCCTTCCCTCCCTCATCCCTGTGTCTTCCCTTCTTCCCCCTTTCCTTTAAGGCCAGCTTGGCCTTGAGCACTGCAGGAGCTGGGTTGGAGAAGAGGAGGAGCCAGCAGTGAGGGAGGAGGAGAAGCCACTCTGGGCTACAGGAGGCTGCCCTGGGAGCCCCAGAAGTGAGCTAAGTATCCGTAGTGGAAGAAACCCGGGCTGCCCCAAGACTGCAAGCCTGACTCTGAGATCCTGGGGAAATTTGTGTCTGCTGTGCTAAATGGCACTAGACTGCAAATGCTAGCTCTGGGGTCTCCTCTCCAAATGACAAATGAGTGGATTTTATCAGCCCTGACTTCCAGGCCCCTGGGGGCACAAGGGCCTTGAGGCACAGCCCTCCCAGCTAGGAGACCCTTCCCTCCTTTGAGGCTGGTTCCTCTTCCTGTCTGCCCACCCAGCTTTCTCCTCTAAATCAGGTCTTGGTCTCGCCCTGCCCAGAGCAGCCTGGAGGTCAAGACGTTTCAACTCGGGGAAGGAGGGACCTCTGTTAGGAGGCACCCAAGAGCCGTGGCACTGGAAGAAGATGTGACTCGGAGCTAGTCGCTTCCTCAAGGTTCCACATCCCTCCTGTCTTCTTTTTTTTGCTTTGCTCTATTTTGAGTCTTCCATTTCCACTCCACTTCCAACTTAATGCATCTGATGCAAAATGCTTCCTTTGGACCAAGGAGAGCAGTGTCAGACAATGGAAAACAAATAGCAGTGTACGATTTTTTTTTAAAATGAAATTCACATCATTTCATAATTTGACAAGTACCTGCTTCATCAGGGCAGGGACTGCATGGTTTGGAGCTGGCTATTTAATATTTTTGTTGCCTTCCCAGTAATGAGAGCTAATTATTATGTGCCTAGTATGGTATTAATCTTATTTAATCCTTACAAAAGTCCTGTGAAGCAGATATTATCATATCACTCACATTTTATAGATGAGGAAACTGGAGCTCAGGGCAGTTAAGTACTTTGCTTAAGGCCCCACAGTCGGGCAGCTGAAAGCATAATAATGTGCTTCTTGCTGACTTTATGGATGTGAGGTCCTGGCCCCCCTAAATGATAGTGTTGCTGATGGCCCATGTATAATGCATTCTCAAAGGATAGACTGATGAGCCTTTGGGATGCTCTATTGTGATCACATGATTTATGGAGCAGGAAGTAGACCCAGGGAAGGAGAGCAAACTGCACCTACACAGGGCTTGCACTGGGCAGTGATGAGGGGTACAGGCCGATACATGGTGTTCTTACTACCGAGGACTTAGCCCAGCCTGTGTCTCCCAAGTGTCTCTCTTGCCTTGCAGCACTTAAGAGTTTTATCAGTGCCCCTTTCCCAGTTGCACAGGACCCAGCCCAAATCCCTTAGCCTCCAAAGAACCTTTAGCTGGTTCCTTAGATCTCAGAACTAGAGCTTTAAGTCTGAGCCCTGAGTGCAGGTATTGAGCTTCAGGCCAGAGGACAGTGAACTGTGGACTTTGTTTTTGTAAATACAGTCTTATGAAGCACAGCCATGTTTATGTGTTTGCATCTCTGATTGCTCTTGTGTTGGAATGGCTGAGCTGAGGTGACCTACAAAGATGAAAATATTCCCTCGCTCGCCTGTTAAAGACAAATGTGACCCACCCCTGCCTTAGAGAAACCAGTTGCTATTAAACCTGGAAAGCCAGGCCACCTCCAATCTTCCTTTCATTCTTACAAGCTTTTGTGGTAAAGGTGGGGATTGTGAGGGTATAGCAGAGGCATGACAGGTGGCTGTGTCCAGTAAGTTCTTTCCAGTGCCCTAATTGGTAGGTCTTAGTAGACACACAGTCTCCTTGAAGGGGATACGTTCAATAGAATGATGTATTTTCCCTGTCTCCCAGTTTTCGGGGAGTTACTCAGAGCAAACCTTTAGTTTTCTTTTTTTCTTTCTTTGCCACTTCTAATCCGTTGCCAGGCCCACTAAGTTATCCACTGTACAATCTGAACTTGTCCCTCCTACCTCCACTGCCCTCACCAGAGCCAGCGCCCCGTGGTCATCTTGGGCCTGGATGCTGTAGCAGATCCAAGTACGTCTCTGCAGGACCTCTTGCTGCTTCCAACCCATTTATTGTCTACCCAGCAGCAGCTTTCTCTCTTTGAACTCACCAGTCTCTATTTCCTTCCCAGTAGGTAGTACCGTCTGTCATGATTTTGATATTTCCTTATCTACTCACTGTGGTGTGGAATCCATACTTCATGAGGGCAGTCACCTTTTTGTGTTATTTTTATTCCTTAATGTGTCCTCCGTGGTACCTGGCAGGTAATGGTGCCATATGAATGAATGAATGAACAGAAGAGCCAGTGAATGAGGGTGGGTAGTGTTAGAGACATCCTCAGAAAAGGCAGAGGAGAAACATCGAAAGGTATCATTTCAATTCAAGAATACATACCCAGCTGTTCCATTTGGATATGGGTCCCGCCTCATTGTCTGCATTCCCCAAACACAACTCCAAACATCCCACTGAGCATGTGCTCCATTACTGCAACCAGAGGGCTTTATTTCCAGAAGTGCTGATAGAGGAAAAGAATCCTGGAAACCATTCTTAGACAATATTGACCTAGCTTCTTAGCAAGAAGTACTTGTTACCTTGTGGTCAGTATTCCACGTACATACACATACAAATTTCACAATACATCACTCTAGAGGTTTTCTATTGTAGTCTATTCTCTTTGATTCTACTCTGTTCCATTAAAATGATACTGATTGTAACCATCACATTAATTTCATGATGTATCATGGCTCACAGTTTGATGAACAGTGTTTAAAGTATGGTATTTTTCCTCAAGAATTCTCAACCTAGCAGAGGACCCAGACTGAAAGTCAATGTCAGGCTGCCTGATAAATGCTATAGAACAGGTCTGCGGTTCCGGGGGATGTGCACAGACAATGAGCCTGCAGAGATAGTCCCTGGGTCGAGACTTCTCCAGAGGCCTAGGGGGAAAAAATGTTACCTTTAGATGTTAGATTTAATTTAGTTGTTTTTTTCTTAAATTTTCTATTAATCACTTCTGTCTACAATATAGGCGCTTCTTGTTTTGTTTTCACTCTTGTGTATTGATTTTTAAAAAAATATTAACAGAGCTGTCATTCTTTAGGTACTTTTTAATTAAAGAAACATAAAAACTTGGCCTCATCCTTATCTTTTTTCTCATTTTTTTCCCATCCTGTTTTTCTCTGGGGTGTAAAATACACACACCACATACATAAGGAAAAACATATCTATAAGTGGAGTTTTTTCCCTTTACTATTTTGAATTCCTTAACACTTAATGGTGCATGGCCTTCAGTTACTTTTATTTTAAAAGGCTTCACATTCTTGTCTTAGATGAGATGCAGATATTTCTGTAAAAGCTCTGCCTCTCAAACTTATTACACACCTGTAATCAAATTATGCATTTCTCTTCCTTGTGAGGGGCATTTGGTATAATTTTTTCTGGCCTTAGAGACTTGAGTACTCTGTCCTTGGATATTTCCATTTTAGAGTTTAAGTAAACCTTTTTTAGTGTTTGGAACTGCCACCTGAAGCCAAGGGGAAGGCTTCACAATGAGGTACCCTGCCAGCCTTGGGATGCCTCAAGCTCAGCCCAGTTCTTGGCCCTGGAAGATGATCAGAGGCCTTGCAGGATCCCCATGGATGTGTCCCTCAGAAGCATTTTGTTTGTTTTCTCTCTTTGGAATGCTAGCAATTCTGAGTATGAGTTAAATTGAAATGTGAGTCTGGTTTATTAAAAAAAAAAGTAAACTTCTCTCTATAAAAGGCAAAAGGGGTCAAGGTAGGAACCATTTCTTATGATCCAAAGTTTGAGAACATTTTTCCAGCTAATGAGTATTGAGAGTACATTTGGCCACATGTACTGACCAAATTCGGAATTAAACCTCAGCTGGTCACTATATGAAGAACTGGGCAAAAGGAAACTTCTAGAAGCAAAAGGAAATTTCTAGAACTTGTTACGAGTCAGTGGTGTTGGCTTCCTGAGCCAAGGGAGCAGTCACAGTACCCCGAGCCTGGCGTGTAGGATGTATAGAAGGCAGATTAAGGGAGTGATGGAAATAGAGAATCTTGGGCCACTTTATCCTCATTTGCCAGAAACCCCTCCTGCTGGCATTGTTGGAGGAAAATGCCTCACATTGGATTTAATGAGACATTGTTCAGTCATGCTTGTTTTGTTTTGTTTTGTTTGGTGCCAGGGATTGAACTTGGGTCCTTGAGCTTGCACAGCAGGCGGGGAAACCACTGAGCTAAATCCCTGGCCCTAACTTGTTCTTTTTTTCTGTCAAAGAGGAGATCTTTATGACGCCACCTGTCTTTCATTGAGTACCCAAAGGTAAGGCCTCGTACTTGACTCTTACATCTCTGGGCCTCATACTTGACTTTTTTCCCAGCGAGGGAGCCAGGACTTTGCGCACCATGAGCTGTAGCCAAGACATGGCTGTGTGGCCCCAAATAGCCCATTATTGTTTAGTTACTCCATGTGGGCTCTGCGGGTTTATTCTGTGCAGTTGCTGAAGAGTGGCGTACTATAGTAAATGAGATACTTGGGTCAGGATTAGGAGAAACCACAGTCTAGTTAGTTACCCACGAGGCCCAGTTGCTTTTAATTGCTTTGTCTTAGGTCTTTTTGGTATAAGACACTCTGAAAGTCACCTTGATGAAAACAAAAGCCTTAGAACTGAGATAATCTCACTGTAGAAAGGTTTGCACGGCAGCTGTGGCCCTCCCTGGAGCGGACCATGCTTGTGTGCCTGTGACAAAAAGGCCTGGTCCTTGGCTTAGGGCTCCACGGGAGCCTTTGATGATGGAGTCAGGCCAGCCTCCTGCTGATGGTACAGGAGCTGATAGCTTTGGTGGTTTGTTTTACCTTAGCCCAATTTGGTAATTCTTGATCTTCCCATCCTCCCCCATTTCTTCACTCCTTACCTTTTGACTTGCTTTAGAAAGTGTGCTGCAAAGCTTTTTCTGCAAGAAAAGAAGGAAGAACCAGGGCATTGATTGCCTGTTTTACTTGGGAGGTCTCATCAGATCCTGTGAACCATTCTGGACTTAAAAATATATACATAAAGGAAAGGCCGCATAGGAGCATTCCATTTTCTAAAGCGGGCGGGCTTTCAGGTCTTTAACCAGTCAGATGGTTAAACTTGGAGCATTGGTGTTCAGCATAGACAGGTCCACCTGATCCAGACCCGTGTCGTGTCCGGCCCTTGCCTGGGGCTGGGTGACTGGGATGGTCCCTTGTGCCAACCTGACGGAGGCTTTGTGCAATTCTTCTATGCCCAGCGCACCCCAAACAGTTAATTCCACCTGTGCTGCTGCACACTGATGTTATTGATAGTATTTTAATGGGCACTGTAAATTAATAAAGTTTGCAAGAAAAGTACTTGAACTGATGGCTGAAATATAAAAAATTGAAACTTTTAAAAAAGATTTTAGGAATAATTGATGTTTAATGCTCCTTTTGTGGTATCTGCTTGGACATCCCCCTCCCCACCCTCCAGCCCATGTGAGTGAAATGGTTTTCTTGTTTGCTTTCTGAACGTTGGAAGACAACATCAGGCTTTCTGTTGTACAGTAGCTGTGAAAATAAGGGAGTCTGTGGCCGAAACCATGGAGTAGGCATGGGTTTAGGTAATTTAACTTCTTTTCTTTACAAATCAGTTAATATTTACAAATGACTTTATCAAACAGTTTGGGTCCATTCGGTCACTTGAAAGCATGCAGCCAGAGAGTGACTGCTCCTCAGCCTCTTGCCAGTTCCAGTGGGGCCCAGAGGACCTAGGTTCTTTTGAATATGCTGATCAGGCTAGATGCCTCCACCCAGCCCCAAGGTGGGCCTCTGAGGGAGCTTTCCTCGCTCAGTGGAACAGTTCTAGAAAAGTTGCATTTTAAAGTTTGACTTCTAAAGATTCATTTGTTACGGGCTGGAGCATGTTGCTGTGAACTGAGGAATCCAAAAAACAAATATTGGGTCCTGGCTTAGGTTTCTCATTGTTGCCTGAGAGCTTTTGTTTCTCGGGGAAGATAATTACAGAATTCCATTCCAAGCATAAATGTTGTTCTTTTGTGAGCAAGTTGGAAAAAAGCAAGTGGGTTATTTTCCATTTTTGTAAAATGGTACCAACATAAGGTTGTTTAAAAACATAACTCTAATTTTTAGAGCAGAGATGGAGTTTTGTGGGTATCTCAGCCCTCTTTTTTCTTTAATATTTCCAATCTGACAAAATTAAAGATTTTTAGAAGAGAATACATGTGTTCTTCAGAGTGGACGCTGAAAGATAAAGGCTTCTCATTTTTTGGATAGATTTGATAGAAAGATTATATTATTGTATCCATATAATCTAGGAAGAACATGTTCATTTGGTCTGTCAAACTTAATACAAGGAAGATTGAAGAGAATTTTATGGTATTCTATTGTCAGCACAATGTTTAAGTCAACAAATAAATGAGAAGCTTTTAAGAACAACTATGGTAATTCCATACAACTATGTCTGTATTAATACCTTCATATTTTAATTTCCTTTGCAGAGTATCGGGAAAGGGTCATTGTGGTGCATAGACCCAGAGTATAGACAAAATCTAATTCAGGCTTTGAAAAAGACACCTTACCACCCACCTCCCACTCCTCAGGCATATCAAAGGTAAGCAGCTCAGATTTTTCTTTTTTTGGTCTACTGAAATCGCATTATTTTGGCAGACAGGCACTAAAACCAATTTAATAGGCTGTATGAAATTTTAAAAATAACTGCAGCTAAATGAGAAAGAAATTAAGTGCTATTAGGAGGCATATCCATTGTTGTATTTCCTGCAGACCTTACCGCTTCTGCTGCTTTGAAGGAATGTGTTTCCAGAAGGCTCCATCGTGGGTAAAATAATGTCTTTCTGGGTAGAAACATTTACAAAGACAAGTCGACATCTTTCATATCTCTCTGTGGTAGGTTTTGTCGGGATGAACATGCTGGAGTGGGTCAACCAAGTGATTTCGTCTTGCTGTATCCTGGCCGGCCTCCACAGATGTTGAGAGAAGGCTTACTGAGTTGTTGTCACTCCCGGTCTCCATGTAGATGGTGCTCCTGAGTGATAGTTTTGTTGTGGTTACTTGGTGTTTGCCTCTTCCAGAGCAGCAGAGAACAGTGGAGACTTTTTCCCTCTTCACATGCCCATTTGTCGTGAGATGGTGAGGTCATGAGTGCCATTTCTACAAATATGTAATTGGAGGGTTAAGCAGCTTGTCACTGTTTAGAAAAGCAGTATTAATGTTAGATTCCAAGAAAGAGGTGTAGAACACAGAACCAAATTTAAAAGTGGATTTGGTCTATACATTGTGCTTGGGTTTGAGGTACATCCCTGCCACAACAAAATTTTTTAAAAAGATGCTTAGAAATATTTCTGTTGTAACTACACAGTTAAGACACAGTATCCTTGGGCCACAAGTTCATGTTAATTGGGAATGGCATGGTGTCAGAGATTTCAGGAGCCCTCTAGTCCACTTCTTGCAGATTTTTTTCCCGAGCCTGATGTTTGTGCTGCAGGAAAGAGCACAGAGTGATTCTCTGAAATGGCATTAATGAAGTTCTTGTGTTTCTCAGTTGAGAAGCATTCCTTCACAGGCCCTAACAATCAGTCTTCAGCAAGAGACAGGGAGGAACAGCTGGGCTCTGAGTAGACTGCTGTATGTCTGCCTTTGCTAGGCGATTAGCGTGATGGTAGCCATAGCAACCAGAGCATCTCCATAGTAACGCGTAGCCGAGACAGGTGCAGTTGCATCACAAGGCTGTTTGTTGCCTGGCAAAAGGACAGGCCATTAGTGCTAAGATATACGCAGTTGCCTTAGAAACAAATAACCCTACATAGCAACTACAGTTGGTTTGCAAGGTTGGGAAAAAAAAAAAAGGCTGTAGCAGCTTTTGTCTGTGTTCATAAAAATCAGTGGAAGCATACTTTATTTGAAATGACAACTTGAGGTCATATAGCTGTAGGAGATAAAATGGGATTTTCCAAAGCAGCCCAGCCGACATTGTAGAAATGTCCAGAAGGACAGAGCCATATGCTTAGTTTTCTCCTTGTGGCTGTAGCCACTCCTAAAATGGAAAAGTACTAGGATTGGAGTAAAGAATTGCTGGTGTATGAGGTTGGTAGGGAACATGACACTGATTATTGAACTGTTTCCCGGATTCTCGTGTTCCGTTGTCATTCTCTTCCCCTGACTCTCCAAACCTCATGGAATACACTTGCCTTTCCAGTGTGTCCCTTGGAAGTATTTTATATCCCTTTGCTTTTAGCAAGTTAAGAACCATAAGTGTTATTCACTGAGTCATATCATTGGTTCATTTAGGCCACTATTTTGTTGCCAAATGTGACCCCAAGGGAAACACAGTAATTATATAATAATTTGAAGGATTATAGGAGAGCTCTGGGGTTTGCAGGAAGACTGCATACGGGGGCACGAGGCACTGTATGCTAGCCTTAGCCTAATGACTTCCTTTGATTTTTTAATATAGCATAAAAATGTAGATGAACCAGAGCTTTAATAGTGAAAATAACTTCCAGTGAATACTTCAGATCCTGCCTGTCACCTGCAGTTCCTTTTCTCCCTGTTGTCAGAGGTAGAGAAAAGTTTCCATCACTTGGATTTCACCTGTGTCAAGGTCACTGGCTGTGGAGTGACAGGACAGGTCAGATTGTATCTCACCTCTTCCATGCCTTAGCACTACGAGAGCCCCTCTCATTGCTGGAAACTGTCCTGCTTTCATGCAGAAGCCTAGCGTTTGCTTCGGGATCCTCTAGTGTGTGAACTTATTATACTAAAGCTATGTGATTATATGGGCGATTATATGGTATTTCTGTGGCTTACGATGATACGATGTTCAGCTCAATTCTAAGCTGTTGGCCCACTTGTTGATTGACTCTGGAAAGATGAAAGTGGAACAAAGCAAGTCATTAGATGGGGGACCAAAAAACGCTTACTGACAGAATCTGACCAGTCCATTGTGATGCAGGGATCACCTGTCAGCCTTTGTAGGGTTGCTATGAAGGGCACCTGGGAGGGAAATGCTTGGCTTCCACGGAACTGGTGCTTAGCGTGGTAAAGAAGGTGGTGATGATACTAGATGGGCAGATATTGCTATTACTTGCAGGTGTGCTTGGCGAGTGGCACTGATCTGAGCTGCAGGTGGCTGTGAACTGCAGGGAAAACAAGGCATCTGAAAACACTACTCACCATGTTCATGTTCAGTATAGTGCTGCATACTGTAGTGGGTTGACTTGAGCCTCTGTTTTTCACTATGCCCTTTCATATGTTAGCCTGTTCCCCTACCCCTGCCTTTTTTAATATACCAAGTTTGTGAATTGTTTGTGACTGAAATGCAAATTGCTCAGTCACATTAGCCCTTGCGTTAATTTCCTTGTGCTGCTGTAACAGAGTACTATAAACGAATGACTCAAACAACAGAAATGTATTACCCTCTGGTTCTGGAGGCAAGAAGTTGCAGATGAAGAGTCGTAGCACTGGTTTCTTCTGACACCGCGGGGGAGAATCTGGTCCTGCCTCTCCCTTGGCTTCTGGTGGCTTGCTGACAATCTTTGGTGCTCTTGACTTGTAGAAGCATCGCCCTCATCTCTGCCTGTACCGTCACATGATGTTTGCTCTCTGTGCTGTCTCTGAACTTGTCTTTCCAGAAGGACATGGGTCATACTGGATGAGAGACCTACCTTATTCTAGCATGACCTCATATTAACTTCTCCAGTGACTCAGTTCTCAAATAAGTCAGTGGTGAGGTACTGGCAGATAGGACCTTCACATACATAAATCTTAGGGGGACATAATTCAACACTTATTCTGCCCCTCTTCCCCTTTAAAGTGAGACATTTTGGTGGTAAAAATATGAAAAAGCAGAAAAAAAATGTTCAAAACACAAAATGGTGGGGTATGTCAGAGGGACAAGGGAACCATCCTGAAATTACTCTCGTTAGCCAAGCTGGGACAATTGGCGCAATGAAGTAAATACTTATTGCATTATTGCGCAAAGTATCAGTATTTGTGGGCCCATTTTGATGTAAATAATTGGAAAAATGAGAGAAAAGATAAGCTTCCCAGAGAGAAGAATTCCACAAAATTTATGTGGCTATTCTTGAATTCAGGGTTGAACATGACTACCCACCTCTGAGTGGCTACACTTAATAACTAAGTATGGAGTACGGAAAAGAATGGGAAAGTAAGTTTGTAATAGAAAAACCTGGCAAACACCACCTACCTATCAAAGCTAACATCGTTGGTGATGGGGAGTTGATAGCAGATACCTTTAACGTTATGTCATGTCAAGTGATGAGTGTTACTCAATTTCCTTTCACCATGACAGAGACCTGAGATCAGTCAACTTGTAAGGAAGAAAGGTTTATTTTGGCTCACAGTTTCAGTCTATGGTCACCTGATCCTGTCATTTTGGGCCTGTGGCAGTAGATTCTGTCATGACAAGAGTACATGGTGGAGAAGGCAAGAAGGCTGCTCACCTCACATTGTGGATGGAAAGCAAAGAGAAGAGGAGCAGGCGGTCTCAATAACCCTTTCAGGGCATGTCCCCCACTGACCCAACCTTCCCCCACTTCCTAAAGGTTCCACCACCTCCCAGTTGTGCCATAGGCTGACAACCAAGCCTCTGGCACAGTGGTTGCAAACCTAAGGCACACATGGAGCAGCAGGCTGTTTGTTATCATTGAAAGCTCTGAAAGGTTGCCCATCATACATGGTTCTTTGCGGGACATAACACTAGTCATCCTCCCCCAAACCTGTAACCTTAGTTTAATGCATGGGTGAAATGATTATGTCCTCCAGGAGGAACACTGTATGAAATAGATGCCCGATTAGCATTCTTCAAAGCTGTCAAGGTCATTATAAACAAGGGAAGTCTGAGAGGATGCTTAAGGAGACGGGATGACTAACATGATCTTGGAAGGCATGCTGGAATAGAAAAGGACACTAGAGAAAAAGTAGTGAAATATGAATAAATTATGCAGTTTAGTTTAAAGTAATGTGCCAGCATTGGTTCTTCAGTTATGACAAATGTCCCATAGTAATGTAAGATGTTAACATTACAGGCAACGGAATGGGGAATATATGGGAACTCTGCTATTTTTGTATCTTTCCTGGTTGAAATGACAGCAGTGCAGTGCAGTTCTTAAAGCACAGAATCATTGAGTTAATCAGTTATATCAATTTTATGTTTTTAATTTACTTTTTTGAGGGGGGTACTGGCGATCAAAACTCGGGACCTTGCAGTTGCAAGGCAGGCAGCAGAACCACTGAGCTAAATGCCCAGCCCAGTTATATCAGTTTTAAATATCCAAATCATTTTTGGTGTAAGAAAAGTGAAATGTGCTTTACTGAGCAGTTGCCATAGTACTTTTTCGTCCCTCATCATTTCCATACATTAAGAGCTGACTGTCCAAGCCTCTTGCTTTGGCTCATTCTAGGTGGGATCTGCTGAGCTACATGAGGGGAGTCACAGTGATTTGGATACCACAATTCTTGGAACTTTATTTTTGTGAAATGCCATTCACCTGGCTGTGTAGAGTCCCCATGGCCAAGCTCAGTGAACTAAGGCCAAATTGAGACCCAATCAGCCAGCATGAGGACTCTTAAGCCTTTGCGACGGTTGAGCATGTCCAGGTCCAGGTCTGAATGTAGATGGGAAAAGAGGAGGGAGAGATGTTGTTTTGGATACCTCATGTATACCCCTTCAGCAAAGTCGAGTTATTAATTGCTGTTTTAATATTTAGCATGTTGTTACATATGTCCCTCCTTCCTAGATATGGCATTTCTCATCAAAGGTTATGGATATTTTTATATGTAGATATTGCCAAGTTACCTACTGATTCTACACTTTGGGTCCAAACTCCACTCTCACTAGCTTCTTAATTTTCTAACTCTTTTCAGTGTGAGATGACATAGAGATAGTTTTCCCATGGGTGACCTCAACTTTTGTGATTTTGATACGTTACAGTGGGGCATTTAAACATCACAATACTAGGAGCTGGGAATTATTGTTGGATGGGAGAGCACTTGCCTGGCATGTGTGATGCCTTGGATTCAATTGCCAGCACTGCAAAAAAAAAGTTGTAGTACCAGATTAATGCCCTGTAAATTGTTGATACTGTCATAACAGTGTTTATGGAAACAGATTGTTGTAAAAGTTGTATATATGTGAATCTCATGTGATAGTTTTACTGGGATAGCCACTAACACAAAATCAGTTTACAGAAAAACGTTTAGCTCCTTTTTAACCATGGGTGAGGAACAGGTTTTGTGATTGATCAGACAATGTGGTTTATAGAGTTTCCTGGATGATCAGCTTTTAGAGCACAGAAATTCTAGTTTGGGAGCCAAAGCCATTATAGTTTTATGGTTTGTGGGTTTTTTTGGTAGATCCAAAGAAATCTCAGTGGCTTAAGTATGTTTCATCTGTGTGTTGGCCACCCTTAAGCTCTCAATGGCCAGACTCTGATTCCTTTGTTCCCTACTGTGCCTTCTATTTTTTGTTAAAAAAAAAATTTTTTTTTTGCTCTAACAGTAACAATGTATTTTTTGTGTGTTGTGTTTTAATGTGCCTTCACATTTGTGAAGTTAGGAAAATTTGTAAGGATTTGGATGATGTAAGGATTTATGTTTTGGATGACTTTTTCTAAAGTTTGCAAAATATTTCAAGAAAGTTTCTTTTGCTCTCACTTTTTTTTTTTTTTTTCCTTTAAAGAAAAAAAATCCCAGGCCTTTGAATCTATCATTTAGCTCTTTATGCTTCTCTTTATTTCTTTGGAGCAATTTAATGAGCCACAAAAAATACATTAATGGATTCTCCAAAGGTTTTAGCCTTTTCAGTATTGAAGTTCTTAATGAAAATGGTTGATTTTTAATGTTGACTCAGCAAAAGGTTTTGTTTCATCCTGCCTACAACCCTATTTATGTGCTTCGTCTTTATAATTCTTTTAATGCCTACACAAAGTAATACTGCTAAGGGTGTAGAAGTCATGCGGGAGTGGTCATTGCATATTGCAGTAAACTTAGTCCTTAGGTCCCCCTACCCTCTCTCTTTGAGCTGGGGATTGAAACCAGGACCTCCAGCATGCTTGTAATTCATTCTTTTTTTCTTTGTTTGTTTTTTATTTTACTTTTGTTGTTGTTGTTGTAATTCATTCTTTACCAGGGAGATAATCTATGGCTGAAAGAATGAGGCTGGTAATGGATGATTGGGAAACTCATGAGTAGTAGGGAAGAGAAGGAAGGTATTTGTGGAACTCATTCTTTTAGACAATTAGAAATTTAGTAAATCCTTAAAATGTTAAGCTTGTTAGCATAACAGTGTTAATTCCTCCACTCCAAGTGCTGAATTTGCACACAGTCAAATATAGCTTATTCATTGCTTGGATAGAATCCCATAATTTTTAAATTTATAAGACATCTTCATTTCTGGTTATTCAGAGTGTTGTGCATTTAATAGTTGGCAGAAGAACTGCAAAGCCACAATAAAATGAGTTTTAACTGCATCAGAAGAGTTTAATTGTTAGATCATAGTGTCACTGAATGTTTTAATTCAGTCAAGCATAAAAAAGAATGGAAGGATTTAGATTAGTTGGATCACTATTATAGGTATATTTACTTGTAAGCAACATATCTGATGGAAACTATAAGCAGTTTTTTGAATGCCCCTTATATTCAATACACTTGTGGAAGTTTAATTTAAAAGGGTAAAGTATTATATATTTGAGAGATTATATTTAAACTGTAACTTTGTGCATAGAGTAATTTTAAAAAGAGTATTAGATTTTAAAAATCAATATGAAGCTTCATTGTGCTAGATTTGTAGAATAGTGTGGTAAATTAATGTGGCAAAATAGATATGGGATTGAATGACAAGGTTTTCTAATAATAGTACCTCCAAATATATATTTTGTCCAAAAAAATTGGAGGAGATGTATAAAAGAAAAAGGCTTCAATTATAAGGGCACACTCTTATTTTAAAAAAATGCAATAATGCCCATTTACAGTGTGAACTTTAAAAATCCATTAGTTGGCTATAATTTTATTTTCATATCAAATCATATTATCTATTGACTTCTATTGTATTTCCTGAGTTGGTCTCATGGAATATTTTTGATCTCAGCATTTTCCCTTCCATATTCTGTCCATTGTGCATTTAATTCTCGTTCAATCCTACATTATTTTATTTAAATGGAAAACAGCGCCGGTTATCGGCGAGCACTTATGTACTAGGCGTTTCTCATGAATATTGTGCTCATTCATCCAATTTCATTCTGTTTTCACACTCACTTTTCAAGTTGAATGCTTAAGCAGCAAGGCTGATTCTATCTGTTTTACCCAGGTGCTGAGTAAAACTCGTGGTCTAGAGGGCCAGACAGAGCCCTTGTCTCCTCTTCTCCCCTTTTGGGGTGCCCTTGCCCCCTGGTTTATATTTTAATACCAGAAGTGTTAAGATCTTTTTAAGTTTACTACTGATAAATTTCTGTTGATACTCCTGAGATGGTGGATAACAAAGAAGTTCCTTGTTTTTCATGCCTCATGTGAAGAAAGTTGAGGTGTTGATGGACCCAGTAGGGTTCTGGAGTCTTTTCAGATTTGCTTAATGTTTGTTTGCTTCTCCAGACATCCAGCTGAGGGCCTGTCAGCTTCCTGGTCAGAGCATTTTAGGCTTTTCTAGACAGGCAGAAATATCCGCAAAGCCAGGCTGTTCTGCATTCTGCAGTTGTCAAACCCCTCACCTTCCCAGAGGAGGAGAACCCTAACTGTATGTTAGAAATATGAAAGAACCATAAAGAAAAAAATGCATGAAGTCACAGTGGAAAAAAAGGGCAGCATTCTTTGTTTTGCAACAGTGTGAAAATGACAGATGTTTTATTACAATTAAAATTATAACCCTACCACTGCCATGTCTAAGCCTCCCCTTTCTCCAATTTTTGATTACATAAAGTTTGTGGACTTTAAAGATTAAAAAGTGAGGGAGAGGGCCGGGGATTTAGCTCAGTGGTTTCGCCGCCAGCTGCACAAGCGCAAGGACCCGAGTTTGATCCCCGGTACGAAAAAAAAAAAGCGAGGGAGACAGATGTGGTAGCACGTGCCTATAATCCAAGCACTCTAGGAGGCTGAGGCAGGAGGATGGCAAGCTCCAGCTCAACCCAGGCAACTGGACAACTTAGTGAGACCCTATCTCAGAATGAAACAAGGGCTGGGGATGTAGCTCAGTGCAGAGGCCTGAGTGAGATTCAGTCACCAGTAACCCCCCATAAGTAAATAAAAAGGAAAAGATATTAAGTAGAGGTGTGGTAATATAATTAGGTGTAAGGTGAAACCTCTCATTCATAAAAGGTTTGAGGAAGCTAGAGTGAGAGGATTGGTTTGTTGTGTGTCTGCAACAGGTTATGTTGGTCAAAATGGACCTGTAAGTAGTAGAAGATAATATTAATAAAGGTAAGTGTTTGATGTGATGACCACTTTCAGTATGGATCAGACTTCTGAGGGAAGAGCCTGCCTGCCTGGCAAGGGGATCTTGCTTTACTGTTGAAGAGCTGGGGTTTGGTAACCTGGAGAAAACCGCCTTAAGATAAACACACCAGCCATCTTCATGAGTAGGAGGGATTAGTCACCTAGGAGGAAGGGTTACAGGAAGATTTGGATTCATTTTAGAAGAAAAACCTGTAATAGGACAGCATCTAACCCTATGCCAGACACCTGTCAGAAGCTGGGTGAATGATTGGGTCGTAGGGTGGATGGACTGGCAAAGGGATGAAAGCAGGACCAGCTACCCCTAGAGGTGCTACTCAAGACTTGACAACCAGCTGCCTGGCTTATCCGAATGAGCTTTAACTGTTGCTGGAGAATCACAGCATTTTCCTTCCAGTGATTGGGGTGTTCTGTTTCTAAGTCTCTTGAGCTGCCATGAGAGCTGGGTGAGTATCAGCAGCCTGTGTTTGCAGCTCTCCCAACCCTGAGTGAAAGATGGGAACAAAACATAATGGGCAGTTTGCACGGCTTGGTTACTTAGAAGTTAAAGGTCGGGCTCTTCTCTGGAAATTAAGTCCAAATACCGAGACCACGAAGGGACTAATGTAGTTACTCTTCATTCTGTGTCATCCAGCTCTTTGATTCCTGCCCTGCAATTACCTCTCTTGTTTTAGTGACACTTCTTTGTATTTCCTTCCGTGTGAATAAAATTATCACTGCAGTGTTTTGCCAAGCAGAAGATCATTTCCAAAAGCTGTCCATCAAATCATCCAGACCTCCCTCCTATTGTTTACCCACTGAATTAATGAGAGCTATGCCCACCCTTTGTATTAACCACCTCAGAAGAGCCAAACTGGTGTCCTTGTTGTGTAGAATCACATGTTTTTGGCCAGTGTCTATGATCACATTCTTAACCTTTTGTTTTTTGCACGTCGACTTGACACGTTATTTGTCAAATCGTCTTTGACACTCTGCCATATATGGGAAAGGTGCAGGAAGGGTATGAGAAGTACTGTATGAAAAATTCCACATCCAAGGGCTGGGGATTTAGCTCAGTGGTTCTTGCAAGCACAAGGTCCAGAGTTCAATCCCCGGTACCAAAAAAAAAAAAAAATTTTCCACATCCATTGCTAACTTTTGAGGATTTTGAAGTCATCTGGAGAAAACATCCATAAACCATGAGACATTTTTAAAAAACCCTTATCTTTAGAGATCAAGTTGCTTAATCACAGTAGTCCAAGTAGGGACATGTACACTGTGTATTTATTCTTAGATGGAAAGTTTTGCTGGAAGTCTGTTTGCCAGCTGCTAATTCCACCTGTGTCTCTCAGGGAAACTTAGTCCCTCCACCCCACAGCACACACAGTGTTTGGCAAGAATAAAATGGAAAATGACTGGGAAAAAACATATTCAGAGGGGAAACATCAACCAAACTTTTAGCCTTTTCTACCTCCTTCTCTCCCTGACCCTTCCCACTCCTACTCCCTCTGCTTTCTTTCTCCCTTTTCTCCCCTTCTCCTCCCTCTTACCTCTTCCTCCTTCCCTCTTTCTTCTTCTTTCTCCAATTATGGGGCTTCTGGGTGAAAGGAATTTTTAAAAAGTATATATTGAGAGCAGGGTTTCTTTTCTTAGTTTTCTTCTGAGCCAGAAATTGTTCACCACCTTCTTTTTCTACTTTTAGGGAAACTGAGGCACCCAGAGAGATTTGCCCCTGCTTCAGAATTTCCAGCAAAGTCATGCGCTGGAGCTCTGACTGTCCCGGTCCCCTGCCCAGTCAGATCATCTGGCCCACAGCTCCCTTGCTCCTTACCTCCCCCTATGCCCGCTGTGGAGCTGGCCCAAGTTGGTCCTGCAGATGGACCCAGCAGCTATCACCTCCTTGGAGGAAGAGGCCACTTGGGAGATAGCAAGGAAGCAGAAAAATGAAAAAGATGTAACAATGTCAAGCTGTCAAAGCGTGACTCTGCCCCCTGCCCCCATTCTGCCCGATGGTGGACTGAGCAAGGGTCAGAAACGTGACTCTCCTGAGCCTGCCTCCAGTGAGCTCCACACCCTTGGCAGTTCCTTCTG